TTTTTTTTTTTTTTGTTTTTTTTTTTTCATATTTGATATAATATGCATACGAATTATGACAAAAAGTGAAGAGTGTACACACCAACTAATGTAGACATAAAAAGAACTTTTCGTTAGGTGTTATCGTCAGTTGTTTTGGACGGACCAGTTGCAACCGTTCTGAATTGTTTAAAAATCCGTAATAATAAAATCCTCTTTATATACATTTTCACACAAATTAAAATCTGTTAAAAGTGAAGAAGTAATCTAATCTTCATAGCATAAGAAGAAAGAATCAGAAGAAGAAGAAGAAGAAGAAGAAGAAAAAAAAAGGAATGATTTTTAAAATGGACTGTGGTCCGTCATATATGAAGATTTGTAATTAGAAGCACGAGGCGTCGTTCGTCAATATAAATTATACACACAACGTTCATTTCAATTATACCTGAACGGTGTCTCGTGCTTCAATAGTACTTTGACCATTTTTTCGTAGGCCATCCTTTCGTCAAGATTGGATGAAAAGTTCATTTCTATCGACTGAAAACTACCAAAACGTTTATGGTAGAACTTTGTCTTTTCATAATACTTTTACGGAAAATCATTATAAATGTATCTTAATATTTCTTTTTGTTTTATACCGATAATGACAAAAATGTGACGACAAAATAATATAATATATATATATATAATACTAATAATAATAATTATAATAATATATTTAATAATAATATTAATAATAATATTAATAATCGTTGATCGTTACACATGGTCGTGTCAAAGGCAGTTAATATCTACACTTATACGCGTTTCCTTAATGTTAATATCTAAAATAATATATATATATTTATATATAATACGTGTGTAACGTGTATTTCTGTTTCTAAATATTATCAAAGTGCCAATATCCTTGTAAAATTACGAATTGGCGAATTGACAAACTCGTTATATCATTTTATGGCAGCCTGAATGCATAAATGAAAAAAGAAATAATTGCATTACTAACAAAATAAATGATATTATTTATCTTTAATATGTGTATATGTATGTATGTATATATATATATATATATAAAAAAAAGAACGAAACAAAAAGAAACATAAAGAGACCCCTAATATTCTATAAAGTATACTATATTCTCAAATATCACAAGCATTCATGTCTCGAATGAATAGCTCATCATCATAATTCTATACTTTCCCGTCACCTATCGACGATAAAGTACTATTGAAACACGAGTCGTCGTTCATCATACGAATGATACGATGAATCGTGCGAAGAAGCCAACTGAAAATTACAAATATTTTGTTCGGTTTTATTTCAATACGCAGATGCTTCCTTATATTCTGATCCCTCCATTGTGAAGAAATCTTCAAGTTTCCATTGAAGAGTTTCGAACGTTGGCCTCTTCATAGGATCTTTGTTCCAACATTCTAACATAATATCGTATAGTGCCGTTGGACATCCAGGTGGACAAGGCATTCTGTATCCATGTTCTACCTGGTTTAATACTTCTGCGTTTGTCATACCTAAACAAAATAATAATAATAATATTATTATTATTACTATTCCATGTGTTCTTCCAACACAAGCGTATCCTTTAAAAAACTATTATAGTATTATAATAAACTAATTCCAGTACCTGGATATGGTATTCTTCCGAAAGTAACGAGTTCAGTAAGAAGGATACCAAATGACCATACATCAGACTTAATACTGAATTTACTGTAATTAGCAGCTTCGGGTGCAGTCCATTTAATTGGAAATCGTGCCCCAATACGAGCTTCATATTCGTCCTCTTTAATAAGTCGAGCTAAACCAAAGTCTGCTATCTTAACGACATTTCCATCAGCTACTAATACATTTCGTGCAGCCAAATCTCTATGAATGTAATTCTGTGATTCGAGATAAGCCATACCAGTAGCTATTTGTGCGGCCATATCAATTAATTGTTGTAATTTCAAAGCTCTTCCTCTTACTCCTATGAAAGAAGAAAAAGTATAATCCAGTTAATCCATATCCACCAATTAATTATTAAATAATAGAAAAATATTGAAATATTACCTTGTAAGTATTCTAATAAACTGCCATGCCTCATCAATTCTGTGATAATATAAATTGGTTCTTCCATTGTGCATACAGCATAAAGCTGAATTAACTTGGCATGTCGAAGTTTTTTCATAATTTGTGCTTCTGCCAAAAAGTCTTTTGGATCCATAGTGCCTGGCTTAAGAGTTTTTATTGCTACTGGTGTTGTATTATTCCATTGTCCTTCCCATACTTCTCCGAACTGACCCTGGCCCAGTTTTCGCAAAAACTTAAGGGATGAACGATCTATTTCCCATTGGTCTCGTGTACGATGACTAAGGCCTTCCGTTACAGGTTTCTCAACCTATAAACAAACCAGATACGGGCCAGTCAATGGCTAACATATTCTAAAGTCTTTCTAAACAAAAATGCATCCTCTTTGCATCAATACCAAAGCTCTCTATGAGTAATCTTCAATAGTTCTCCACTGGCAGAATAATGTTAAAAAATGTTTGTGTTAAAATGAGTATAATACTTTGACACTTAAAAAAAAAAAAAAAACAAAATTCAAATATCTCAAAGTATTCAGTTTTTGTATCTTATAAGCAGCGTATAATCCATAGAGACCTACATAAAAAACCTTTACGAATGTGGCTCAAGCTATGCACAACTATCCATCAAATGCAGATTAATTCTATTGCATGAAATACACAATTGTTAACAGTTTTAAGGGAACTACCTAAATAAATTTATATATATATAAATATTAATATGTGCTTGTGTTTTGCGAATTAGAAAAATATCTTGCAAACTTAAGGAAACAACAAGAATGTATTATGTCATAAGCTCCTTTTTGTGTGTTCTGAACTGTAAAAAAAACATATGATGTCATATACTCAAACATTATAAAAAGGCCTTGTAGTATATATACCCTAACACTATTACAAGAAAACTTAATGATTTAATGGAATTACGTAACGCAGATAATGGCGACTAATTTATAAGTTTCGAACGATCGAAAAAGTTCACACAATGCAACAGCGGAAAACATGGTATATATATATATAGAAATATAGAAAGCAAGAAAGAAATGCTATGAAATAAATCTAACACCGTTCTAGCAGAAAATCTTAAAATAAAATCACCTTTATTATTTTGCGTATCTTATAATTAATAATACTTTTTATTTTTGTTTTTCTACGTTTACGCATATTCTACATCGAAATATAATTATCAAATTGTGTTATGTATTGCTTTACATTTAACATACATAAACGGAAGATCATATTATGATAAAATTAGAATAATACTGTTCACGTATATGTATATATATGTATATTTAAATTTTTCATATCATCCTTAAACGAATTAGATTACTTACATTGCATTTATGAGGAGCCCACGTTGTGCACGCAGGAATGAGTATTATTGATTTTAATAATTGTTATAAAAAATTGAATTATAATATATATATAATATTATTATAATTCAATATTCTCTCTCTCTCTCTCTAATGTCAATATTTTTTATATGGTTTCAATATACATATAAATTTATTATAAATATATAAATTGCTAATAAAAATACATAATATATAGTAGGAATTTGATAAACAATGATATTCTAGAATAAAATTAATCAATAACGATAGTCAATAACAAAAAGAATTAATCTTGGTATTAATAAAATTCTAATTAACACTACAATTGACTCTTAACGACCGAAAAAGAATCGTCGTGTATGCGCGTGTGTGTATATATATATATGTGTTTGTAAAATAATTGACCGAGTTTGTTGAATAAAAACGATGTTCGAATATTATAGGTATTAAAATACGAAACTTCGTAAACAGAATACTCATATATCGAATAATTGAAATGACCCATAAAAACCGCAACGTCAAATGCATAGTCACTAGTAAAACATGATAGCGTAATGTTTGTTAGTTGTGTGTTTGTATTCGTGTATATATGTTATAGCAAAAAAAAATACTGGACGCACACAGTTTTTTTAGTGTAAAACAATTTTACTCCTCACTATTTGTCCAACCACACAAATAATCGACCAAATAAAATTCTATTTACATCTATTGCGACGTATTCTATCTATCTGTTCACAGTTATCCGTTTAAAAATCATCCTATACATTTGTAAATATATATATGTTCTATTTAAAACCAGTAAATATACTGAAAATTAAATGTATACATTTACTCGTCAATTATTTATGCTATTTATAAATTATCGTAGACATATTTTCTACATTTTTTCAACCTGAATATATCCGGATATGAATCAGTAATTATGAAGATTGTCTAATTGTAAATCATATATTTTTTGTTTAGGGATATTTTGATATATTTTAATTAGAATTATTTAAAAACTGTTTTTCTGTAACATGACAAATGGAAAAAAAGTATATGTATATTTTTAAAAAATAATTCTTTTATGAATTTTAAAAATTGTAAAAATAATAACAAATATATCAAACGACTTAGACCACTTTCATAACCACTAGTTCGTATTACTTATTGCTTCCTCACTTATATTTCGTTTGAAAATTTTAATCATATTTTATATTGTAAATTATTCATCAATATATATATATATGAGAAAAATCAGATAGAGAAATAGAAATAGATTGCTAAGTATCGAGGTCATCTATCGGAAGAACGTGTTGCAATTTAATGATTAAGAAGATATGTATATATAAATCACACTATACTAAATATGCCTGTGAATTTTAAATGAACCTATTTAATCCTGTTAAAAAGATAATCATCTATGGGGGAACGATAAAAATATCAATCGAATATAATTATATATAGACCTCGTAAAAGATTTATGCTTAGTTATATATTTGCATAAAATTAGATTTGCAAGTTTTGATTTAACTCGACACGAAAAATACTTCCTATTTATAAAAATCTATTAATCGTTAAATTTAATGTCAAAACGAGAGATAATATTAAAAATTTGTTTTATAAATTTACGATATCTCAATGTATATTTAAAATAAAATAAACTCTCTATATTGAAATATTTCCATTGAAGAAGGAAATAAAAAATGAATGTTTCTGAATAAACATGTGAATAAAAAGTAGTTATTCCTTTTAACACAAAGATGTAATGTAATGATGACACAAAAACAATCAAATTAAATCTTTGCTACTATGCCCAAAGCAATTAAGACAAATACTGAATTATCTAATTACATGCGAAGTGACGTACGATTTAATAGGATTATATAATCTACTAGTTATTTTCCGACATATGTATGTAATGCTAATGTATAATGAAATATAATATCAGAAACATATACATACAATCCATTTCCATAGCACACACATTTTTATTTGTGATGTGTATATATATATTTACGTATATATATATACTTTTTCATTAGGAAGTAATCAGTACTTGTGCTTTTGTAACATATTCAAATTTTCTTACAAAATGTACTTAAAAATGTATAATTATTTTAATTTAGGAACAGTGCACAACAGTTAATCCAGTCTTATAAGAAACTGATGAATTTAAATCACTATGCAGAGTCTCTCAGTTACATATAAAAAAATATATCTTTTAATTATAATACATTTTTATATTAGATGTAAGTCTTTCTCATAAGCTATATTCTTATTCTTTGTGATAATATATTAAATATAATAGACAGTAGTCGTGTAGTATACAGACAGAGTAAAATTTCACCGAGATACCCTGCATTTGTTAAATATTTTATGCACACAAATATCACTGGTAATTCTTTGAATTGTCTCAAATTATGAAACAGTGCTATGTAAAAAAACACCTAAGCGCATTAAGTGTCCTTGTGTGTGTGCGTGTGTGCAACAGCTATGTAAAAAGCTATGATGTACAATAAAGTACATAAAGAATCATAAAAAGAATTAAATTTTCAGCCGAATGCTTATAATCTAATGTCTTTGGAGCATAATTCCATATAGGACAGGCTTGTGCTATATGTGTGATTAGAAAAGATGATTGAAAGTAATTGCATTAAGAAGAAAAAATAACATGTTATGTTATATTGGGACATTCAATTTACCAAGAAAATCCAGCAGGAAGTAGGGCAAGCAATAACAGAGAAACAAACACAATTCTATTCAAATATTGAACTTTGTGGAAACATTTTTATGAAACAATGTTGCTCTCAAACCTCGATTTCCTTTTAACTGTAATATATCTATATAAAGTTTTATTATATAATTTAATATCTAATGTAGATTTTTTATCTCATTTTGAGAAATGTAAACTTCATTACAGACCTAAGAGAGATTTTATTTAAAATAAGCTATTTTTGTGAAAAAATAAATCAATCTGTGAATATAATGCTAGTAGTAGCCTTTAACTTTTAAATCAAGGAAATATTTAATAGTATGAAACCTCGATTATCGAAATAACGAAATAAGAACTTGTAAAAAATAAAATAAATTTTGTTATAAAGAAAAAGAAAATATTGGATTCCTTATTGATGATCGAGGTTCTATTCTGATATTTTCTACATGCATTATTTAATGGATTGTCTTAGATAATCTGTAGGAATAAATAACTCTTGTAATGGTAAAATCTAATTTAAAAATAAAATATTTTGGTGCTATTATGCATAAAGCCAGTCTACTCAGTACTGGTTCGAGAGGTTTAAAAAGATAGACCAATGTGTCTAACTTTATATAAATATTATATCATTTATTGTAATTAATTGATAAATCTCTATAACTATCAGTTAGAAAAAAAATTTTCTTTTTTTTTTGAAAATATTAAAATGCAAAGTAATAACCAGGAGTAATAAAATTTGTTTGTCCATTTAGAGAACATTGCATTTTTTAAAATAATATTTTAAAAATATAAAATTCTTCACAAATTTTGCTTTGTCTGTATCACACACACAATAACACTATGGTATATAAAACAAGGACTGATGTTCTGTATCACTGTAAAAAGCATGCAATAAGGAATTTTTTTGCTTGTTGATATAATAATGTATGCATGATGCAAAGCTATGTATAAAACAGCCACAGCATTCTAATAACATGAAATCATTAATCTTTTTGAATAATAATATTTTATGCTCTTCATAGAGCATCAGTAAAGAGATACGAGCATTTGGATATAGGACTGACAATGGTCCTCTCGAACTGGGTTACTAATTGAGCAGACTGGCTTTAAAGCAAATTCAACTGGAGTTTAGACAGTATACCAAAAATTTACAATATATTATCAATCTACACAATACACGCATTAATTTTTAAGCAAAATCTTTTTTGCTTTATACCATTTGCAATTATTCTAAAAAAGCACAAAATTACCAATATTATAAACCACATTTTAAAGAAATAATACATGCTTTCTAATATTTACTTTTTCACTTGAATAAATTACAAAATTGTATTTGCATTCCATATAAAGAAATTTCTACACAAAAGTAGTTTCTTTTTATTTAAAATGTAAAGTAACATAAATTTCTCTTGGAATCTATGTTCTCTATTGAAAAATAGAAATCTGTTTGTAGAAATCTCTTAAATATTTATCATTTTATTAATCAAACGAAAGAGGTGCATTTATATATATATATATATATATATCGATAAATAAAATTTTTTATTACAATCTTTAATGCTGTGAAAAACACTTCTTTTTTTTTTTGTTTTGACATGCAACAAGCTGTCTAAACTCCGTTTAAATAAACTGGAATCTTTCACATGAGTCATACAAATTTGAATTTTGTTTCTGCTTACCTGCACACACGGTTTACAGAGATTTACACACAATCCATCTGCATCTTTACTGTAGTGTTCAACAAGATCTTGAAGATTCCTAAATGTGGTCCGCCTAGCAATGAAAAAGCCCCCTTCATCCAACTGTCGTATGCGGTAATGTTTGACAGTATCTCCATCACGTACTATAAACATAATTTATATAATCTCAATTAATTGTTAGTTACAAAAATAAACACAGAGAGATCTCTGTTAATTATATTATAATTATTAAATATTACCTGAAAGAGAATAATCATTGTGACGGCTTTCAGAATCTCTAATTAAAAATGCACCATGGTCATTTTCTGGCAATAATAATTTCTTTTCCGCTTCAATTCGTTTTATCTTCCTAAAGTACCATCTAAAAAACATATTTAAAAAAAAAAAACCATATTATCAAAAAGAATATACATATATAACAATGGAGAGGTATTACCTAATGAAATTATTTTGGTGAATGATTATACGTTGAAATGCAAATACACATGTGTTTTTCTAATGAAAAGTTGTGATAACAATGCATTATATCTATGTGTCATAAGCACGATCATCTCGCTCGTAGTAAATATATAGATAATATTTATCATTTTATACATATTTAATAAAAATTTCAAATTTATATATTTATTTATATATATATATAATCTTTTTTTTTAATAATTATAAAGTATACACATAATATATAAGATAAGAAAAAATATCAGTTAATCATCAAATTAAAATAAAAACAAAAGCACACATGTGTGACAGTTTCTTAGAAAATACTTTCAAAAGAAAGTATAGTGTAAGAGAAATACTTTTTATTTTAGTTATATTTTATCGTCTTATCTTTTATCATGTCCAATTATATAATGGGATTTTCTTAAGTTATGAATTGAATAAACAAATAACTCAATCATAAGTAATACCCTGTTTCCTCATAAAAAACATTGATATAAAATAATTCCCAATATATATAGTATATATATACATATATAGAATTATTATTATTAAATAATATACATTAAACTTTGTATATCTAAGGGCAGCATAGAAGAAAAAAAAGAAAGGAAGTAGTGCTTATCTTCACTGATTAACAGGCAGAGGTGCTCAACCAAATTATTAAGTCAGGGAGAGGCAAGAGAAATACTGTTGGTGAAAGCAAGGTCATATTAGTTGGCTATTATACAGGGAGAAATTCAATAGGTGAAAATGTAACAAAGAAAATATACACAGCATTATTTAAAGGCAATGGAATGATCGACGTTTATACAACACTCATTGTATCACACAATATTATTAAATTAGAATATTATGAAAGATGCCAATTAGACTGTCCATATTCCGAAACATAACTGTAAAACATTAAGTGAGTTGCATATTAAAAAGTATAAATCGAATGAAATGGAAGTAAGTTATTCATACTTCCATAAAAATCGAACAAGTCAGCGATTGGAACGAACGACAATGAACGGTATCGAACGATTGTATGTTAAGATTCGAAGAAAAATGATGATCGGATGTTTGCGATATCATTTAACAGACACATAGACACACACACATACAAAACAAATAAAACGAATAATCGTATATACTTACGGTTCAGCTTCTATCGATTTCAACTTAGCAACATAATTGCTAGGTATATAGCCTTCTTTTCTAGTCCGTTTACTTCTAGCTAGCCACCAATCTCCCTGGGTATCGTTGAGTATTTCCAAATGTTCACCCTTTCTAAAGCTGAGATCCTCGTCGGTGCGTGCATCGTAATCGTAAAGCGCTACGAATATCTTAGCACTTGGCACATTAGCATCTGGAATTTGTGGGACCGGCCTTATAGGATCCGGAGGTGGTGTTGGCACTGGACTAGTAGGCGATACCACAGCATCTATGTTGGAATTTCCTATCCTGTCTGAGTTGTCTTTATCCGGATCCCTGCTACTACTGAAACAGTTCCCCATGTTTGCTTTCCCTTAACTTCTTTTTACTTCTTTCAGGATGTAAATTGTCGCTGTTATTCTTTATCTCTTTCACCATCTACTATCACTTCATTACTCGCCCGTAACTTAGACGTTTTTAACGTCTGATCTTTTTTCCATGCATTAATATCGTACTACCATTATATATGATAACGCGGACAAGGAAAACTAGATTTTTCGCGAGACACCGACGGACGGGCGAAAACACTCATGGTGAAGGTGCCCAACGGAATGTAACTTTCGTTAGAGCTCGTGCTTAAACCCGAACTTTTCCGAACGGTTAATGGCCTCGACTAAATATCTTCGAGCAGAGGGCGTATTCCACTTGAGAAATGTCAATGAGTACTGTTATCTGATTGGCTGATACAAATCGTGGTCTATAAAATGCCCGGGAAAATCAAATTTTGTTGTTTATATATATATTATAAAATTATCTACGTTTACTATGAAATATATACTTATTAAAACATTGTTTTCTTTTTACGCGGAGAAATATTTATTTTTAATGTCTAATCGAAAATACATTTTTAATGCCATGATTATTTTTATATCGCTTATCATTAATATGTAATGTTTATTATCCACAAATGAGTTTTTTTTATTATATTACACCTGTGATGGACACACCTTACAATACAACAAATTTCGATTGCTTTTTCAAGAATATATGTATATATATATATATATATATATATTTATATATTAACACATTATTTTCATTGTTCTCATTTATGACATGTGTCTTTTTAATAAATAACTATCTAACACAGTTATGCAAGATTTTATCATTCAATGTTATTATATATCGCGTAGTAGATTTATTTCTGATATGCAACGATTTAATACTTCTGGCCTTAGAATTTCATTTTATTTTTTTTTAAATCTCATTTTGTCCTGACAAATAAGAAAGTTCATACGTTTCTTTGTTACTTAGAAGATCAATAGAAATAATATGTTTGCTATGTTTTATACAAATTTTTCGTTCGATTATGTATAATACCGTAACCATTAAATATATATAGCGAAAACAGTAGAATGGAATTATTTTTCATTCATTAAACTTCGCATCAAATTTATAGCTTTCAAATCCACAATCTTAAGATTTATAATTATTTCTAAAATCGACAGAGTATACATATAATATATAATACAGTATGTTATATATTTATGGTGCATGGAACAAATTATCATTTTACGTTTTATATGTATTTTCCAAATAATAATAATAATGTTTTTCTATACTCGAAATTTGTTAATATAAATTAAAAACTGAGATAAATAAAATGAAAATATATCGGACCCAATGAGTCTAGTTATATCGCATATAATATGTGTATATATATAAATAAAAGTAGCATATGTATTTATTTTATATCTATTAATTACATAACTATCTAATAACTGCTATACATTGCAGTATTGTTTATTCTTTAACCACATTTCAATTCAACGATAACTGTTGTGTGGGAGGTTTGCCCAGCATATAATTTTCCTAAGTCAACACAAATCATAGTCATACAAATCCGTTCTGTATTCAGCTAGCTTATAATCTAATATCATCCCCTATTACCGATTTCTGTTGAAGATAATAAATTATATATTTTACTATTAAATGACAGAAAGCAAATACAAAATACTAATTAAATTATTATACTCGTAATTAAGTATGTCGTTGAATAAAATAAGAAGAACATTGTAAAACTTTTTTTTCGACTTTTCTGAATTTCATACATCCTCTGTCTATATAAGTGAATGTTTTCTATATTATAATATATTTTTAGTGTATGTGTATAGACATGAATTATATTTTAAATTATGAATGGTAATGTTTTATTACAATTGTTAATGTTCTTGACATACCAATGAAGTTTAAAAAGTTTGCGTAATCTTTTAGATGTATTGACCTGATATTACAATACAAATACAAATTGAGAAACATTTAATTTCATAAACAAATTCACTATAATACATATTATTCATTTGTTACATTACATAAGAATGCATACTTATGCATACTTATGCATTTATCATTAAAACTTTAATGACAATTCTGTTAATCACAACGCACAATGATTATTTTTATGTAATTAATAAATAAGATGATAAAATGAATCATTTTGAGTCTTTTATCTTGCATGAATAAATGAAATTTTGTTAGCAAGGAATGTAGGAAGAAAATGACTTTGAATAAAGTTGCAATTTAAAATTACATATTTAACTTGATATTAATAGTCTATCGAAATGTTGTAAATAAAAATTCTAAAGAATATTAAGATAATAAAAAACAGGATTTGCACGTTGGCACATTTGGCATTAGATACAACAGTTACGAATATTAGAACATAAAGTTCCAAATGTGATACTTATTAATAGTACAGGAATATGTTAAGAAACTCCTAATTATAGCTTCCTATCCACACATAAAAAAGTGTGACAGTAGTCCAGTCTATCGAATTGTATCACAAAATAAGTCAAATAAAAAAAATCAGTAACAGGTTGAATCACAAAAGTATATAATTAAACTTAAATAACAAATGAATTGTCATTAATTATCCTAATATCATTTTGTTACTTCAGGCTTTTCATACAGGAAGAATATAAACATGAGAACTAATGGAAGAAAGATGTAAATTCACTTCTATATACAATACAATCGTCATAAAGAATTTATAACTTGAATATAACGATAATAAACCATAAAAATTAATATTAATGACTCATTCAACTATAAGAGCTATATAATCATTGTTATACCATTAAAGATGATATAAGAAGCCTTTCAAAATCATTCAATTATATTTAACCATTGAGAGACTATTTGCAAGTAAATATATTCTTTCAATTCAATCATACTCATATACTATATTTATGATATGAAAAATATGTATGTTTAATCAAATTTTGTATAGATAATATATGAACTATGCCATTGCTCTTGACAATTTTTAATTCTGTTTGTTCTCTTTTTCTTTTCAAATAAAATAACTTTGGATAAATAGGTGTTATAGAAAGATGCAATGATGAAAATGCAACAACTAGCACTTAATAAAGCTGTAAAGAAGATTAGCATAGTGTAGAGCTTAATAGTATATTCATTTTCTATATATCAGCTGTAATTAACAATGCAGACCTTGTATATTTATTATCTAATTCTAAATTCCTTCATACTAAATAAAACAGGTTTGAACAAGGTAGGCCAACAGAATTTTTATAAGTAATCTAAGGTATACTACAGATATACAAAAATGTAAAACGATTTAATATTAATTTAACTATCGGGTGTAAATGAGGAAAATATAGGACTAATACTAAACCGTTTTCCATTTTTGATTATATGTAGATACAAGTAAAATAGCATGTATCTAGCTTTGTTGGTCACACATTTAAAACAAAATTAACTGTTTACTTAAACATCAAAATTTTAATATAAGACATCAGCATTAGTGCAATGGATATCATATTTTATGATAGATGTTCATAGCCCTAATAGACAATTATTTGACCAGGTCATTATTACACACCACCATTCACACGAAATATCGAATTTTGTTGCCAATGCATGTTAAGTGTCAAACATTACTATCTGGTTTACTACTAAAGCCCATTGATTGAGCATTTTCAACGAGCGTTGATTGCATACTTGATGAAGGAGCTGATGTTTCCATTGCTGCTGATCTCATTTCTCCCCATGATGCTCTGAAACATATTTTTTATTAAATAAATGTAATTATTTAGCATACTATATTTTACAATAGAATATATCTTGCATTATATTATATATTCTTAGCGCATACAATATTTATAATAAAATCAAATATGATTTTTTTAATGTTGATCGAAAGCTTGTATTTAACTACACATTTTCTATTTTTATCAGATAAAGCTGCAATAGATAAATTGCTTAATGCACACTTTACTGCATATATAGACAAGCAAGATTGTTATTACATAATTATAAAAATAAAATACAAAAGAGTCTAAAGATAAAAATAAAAGTACCTTTAACATATTTACCTTGTTGTGCAAATATTAATTAAGTGTTTTTTATTCTTATACATATTAAAAAAATAATGTTTAAATATTAGTTTATGATAATGACACATACGCTAGTTATTAAGTTTAATTACATAAACTCAACAATTATATAAGCATGTAACAAAAAAATAGCAACAAAACAAACATGCATTCATAAGAGAAATTAAATTAGCTAATGATTTACAGTTTTTACACTACACGCTACCATATTTATGAATATGATGAGGCTATTCACATAGGGATAACATTGAATTTTATATATTATTGCCTGGTTAGTGAAGTGGTACAATGAATATCTGATGTTTTATGTAGGCCTCCAGACATCAGGATCCTCCATGAGTGTGGTATGGTGATCTGTAGTAGGAGGTACTGTACCCTGTGGGGATCCCACACCCGACGACGTCATTCCTGCCGGGTCGGGCCTGGTTCCTCTGTTATTGTGTCAGTATATTAGTAAAAATATTGACACACGTTCTCTCAATTTGTATATATCTTGTATCATTTTCAATATTTAAAAGCATTAAAATGCTCTGCATCATTTTTAGTCCCTGATATAATCTTAGACTCGGTTATCTTGGTAATATACATTTGCAAAAAACCAAAGCAACAATTTCAATCATAAGTGCAAGTAAAACCAACACAGTGATCAAAATCCACCCATAAGCAAATCATATATGTGCATTATTGGACGCATAAACATCTCACACTTTCTTCCATTGTTGAAAGCAAATACAAATGACAATTAAAAAATACACTGTAATGAATTTGAAGTTCACAAAATCTGAAACTTTCGTATCATTTTTTTTTGTTACTTCGATGCACTTAATCGTACATTCGAATGAATATTATTTCATAATATTAATGAGTTTAAAAATGATAACTGTGGTTTTTATACAATTCTTAAAATAATGATTAATAATGTTTATACTTACTTTCTGCCAATTGACATTAATCCATATATTATACCAGTAGCAAAAATAAACCCACTACCAAGTATACTATTTATTCCTGGACAAAGGAAAATTGGTGGCAATGCTATTCTAAAATATATAAAAAATACAGGAACGTATTATTGAAAAATTCTAAAATTTCTATCAATAACAATTAATTAAAAAAACAATAGCGAAGTAGAAATAAAAATGTTGGTAAATACATAATGCTTACATGCAATAAGCAGCCGCTTTATTCCAATAAGGTTTGTTTTCCACCATATCGCTTAAGTTTTGTACAAAATCAATGAAAAGGCAACAACAAGGTGCTTCAATCATCAAAACTATAAAACCAGCAACCATTTGCCATATACCGCTAAGAAAACAGATTATTGAAGCAAATAATATTGTTGCACAATTCCACACTCCGAGGAAGATAGCGACTGTAACAAATACATATATATATATATATATCTATTACGTTTATATCAAATATATTAATAAGAATACAAAAAAAAAATGTAATTTAATATTTTGTTGACAGAACCTAACAATGTGTTTGTTCAACATGTTCTTTCACAAAATAATAGTAGTCATTTGCAGGTGAAATAAAGATAACACATAATCTCTAATTAAAGTGTAGGAATAAAGTTATATAAAGGAGAACGAAAAAAAATTTGTAAAAACTAACTGAAACCGCCTACAGTGCCGAGCCCTCGCCCAGCATACTTCATCCACCAAGGAGTATCGTCCTTAGCGACAGGATCCTGGCCAGGCCTTTCCATTATTGATGCTATTTTTTCCCCGAACGACTACAAATAAACGAATAATATTAACTACAATTAAACTATATTATATAAAAAACGTAAGTAAACGTGTTTTCGTATCTTTGAGAAATTACCATTTTTTATTGTTACTACGTCCAATTCTTTCGTCAGCTGACAGCACTGACAATGCCGCTGAACTCTGTTGATGTAGAGAAAATCGACCCGTGAGATACTTACTACTTCTCTATAACACTATATATATATGTGCACATATATGCAATGATTTGTGTGTATGAGTTTGTGCTCTATCTTCTACCCATGATTAAAGTAGAGCAGTAAGATAGGAGTGTGACTTAATTTTTCATAAACTACATATAGAAAATTAATAGACGAAAATGGAAAGAAAAGCAATTGAATTATTGGCTTAAATATATATATATATAT